TTCCCTATTTCGCTTAAACTCCTTTTTTTCCTTTGCAAAAATTACACTCGAGGGTATACTGTTCTCTGGTTTCGCGGTGCCGTACTGACGCCAGCAGCCGCTTTTCGCACCTCGAATCGAACCGCGGCCCATTAAGTAAGAAGTTAATATCATTAAATATAATATTGGGCGCATCTGGGAGCAACAGAGCACTTACCGCCTCGACCGTTCCTCCCCCGCGTTCTCCCATCGTCGACATACCATTCTACGTCGCGATGCGTTTTCTCTCTTTCTCTTTCAAAGTCTCTCCCCTCCGACGTCGTTCTTTAATTTTTTAATGAGAAAATGCTTTCAAAGAGCCAAAGAGAAATGCGGCGTCTAGGAGCTATAAGTTACGTCAGTGTTAAAGAGAATGGAAGCCTCCTCCCCTACGCTCTCTTTCCTCGCTAATATTTCGGCCCGCAGTCGTTCGACTGCGATGTCTCCCTGCATCTTTATGGCCTTACTTTTTCTGTATATTACTATTTTAATTTTCGACTTTTTCAATTTCATATTCCGGCTATTTTACTGCACTAATTTCTTGTCTTCGATGTCTTCATTATTATCAATTACATTAAAATTTAAATACAATCTGTTACTGATTAGTACATCATAACAACTAAAATTATACAAATAGAATATTAATAAACGACAATATAATCTGATAAATTTCTCTGTATATAAAAATATCTCATTAGTATTTCCAAACACCTAGAATACTACATTATAAAAAAAAATCATTTTTTAGTGATTCTTTCATTAAATATATACGATTTTATAGAAAATTAATATCTTATAAATTAAAATTTATTTTGATTTGAATAAATGACGTAATATGTTCTTAGTGAAGTTTAGTAGATATTGTCATAAAATATAGGATAGAAAATAAATCAAAGTGATTCAAGTATCGAGAAATTAAGTATTTTCAATTGGTACTTACTTGTTCGTAATTTTGTCATCGATTAAACAAGCTCGCGCGAATTTCGCCAAGAGAAATTTCATTTACCGTAGCAATATTGCGCGTTCAGCTCGGTTTGGGGCGTCAATTAAGGAACTGTTTGATTTAGGCAAGAAGACGCTTGAAGAACTCGCGATAACTTCATTTCCACGACGATTAAATTTTAATTAGCAATACGAGGCAATTAAGACGAAAAGGTCCTTCTTTATCGTTTTTCTATGTACATTCTTTATAATTTTCTCCTTACCCTCTGTTTCACCATCTATTTTACACTTAAATCACATATTCATATAATACTAAAATAATCAAGTGAATATCAACTTCTTTTTAATTTAAATTTTAGAAATATTTAAATCAATGCAATTTAATAATTATTGAAATTTAATGAATATTACCCTTTTTTCAGTAAAAAATTTTAATTATAAATATATCGATTATATAAATATTATCGAATAGAATGTGAATGATAACAATTATATAAAAATATGAATAATATTTAAATAAAATTTTACATTTATTGATACACAAATGTATTTAAAATTTTATTCACAAAAATATTGTTTTACAAAATAATATCATGCTAAAGCATAGCTAAAACAGAGTTGATTACATTAGAAGATTACGAAGAGATAAAATTGATTCACTTAACAGTTGCAAAATTGCAGCAATCATGTACTTAAGAAGATAATGTAAAAATTTCTTTTATTAGAGCGATTATTGATTATTCGTATTCGTTATGTATACCATATGATATGATAAGTACAGATATATGAAATAAGAATCACAATTAATATAATTAAAAGATAAAAATTCAAGAAAGAAAACTTATGTAATTATATATAAAATTTATGGAAACAAACTTTTTTCACATTTTTTTTTTACTAAACAATATAAACAATTATACTTAATTCACAAAATAGAAAAATCTTTGCCATACATTTTACAACTATGTTCAAAAATAAAATCAGCTCGATCTTCGGGGTAATATCATTTATTATGATGCAAATAAAAATGAAATAAATATTATGTAGATTCTTAAGTATCCGTAATATTATAAATTGTTTTTTCATAATAAATATATATAATTTGTAAAAATTAATGATTATCATTAAGCTAGTAATCAGTAGCTAATAATATTTATAAATCAATAGTTTTGCATTTTTCCGTACACACATACTTTTAACATCACACGAGAATAATAATTGACAACAAGTAAAACTGCAGACATAAACAATACTCGGATCGTCTTTCTATCACTATATCTATATCTATATACTATATCTACACTATATCATTTTGTTATCCCCCCCCCCCCTATCTTTAAATTCCTTACGATGTCGCACCCACTCATTTAACTCTATCCCTCTTTGCAATGAAAGTCAAAAGCATCGTCGGCATAACATGTATCGATAATGATGAAAACAATTGTAATTTAAAGGGAACAAAGGCAATCAGGGACAGCTTTGCCACAGCTTTCGAAGGCATGTCGCCAACGCCAATGGTATTACAAATGTGCACGCGGATGAGAGTATAGTGTCGATGACTCAAAAGTAATAACAAAAATTGTCTACCAACAGTAACGTTTTACCAATAATAATATGCTTTTTGATATTACCACTCAAATACATAGCGATATGTGATTTATTCTTAATACTATTATAACCTTTATTGTATTATAAACTTTCTTACTTAATAGTTGAGTATGCCTGTATCGGGTAAAAGGCATCATGAAAAATATTTATTTTATATATTAATTATACTTTATATACGGTAAACAAATTTGTTTTTAATTATTTGTACTTTTAATAAAATAATTTTAAAAAGGGCTAAATTTCAGTTGATAAAACTATTTTGAAAAAACTATAAACCAAATAATTTACTAAGTATAGGCCTACATTCGTGCAAATTATATAGTTTTTTAATTGTACACAATCTTATCATACATTTGAGAAAATTACATATCCTTCCGACAACTGTTTGATATTTTAGTTAATTTAATTTAATTTAACTCAACGTAAAATTTCATTGAATCAGAATTTTTCAGACGTGTACAAACCTTTTATTTTAAATATATTAATCACGAATAAACGTGTATCCTATAATTTTTTTTTATAATAAATATTTTATGAATTTCAAATAATTGGTTTTAAGATTCTGCATAAATTTAAGTTCCAATGAGATTTAAAATTTATCTGCATAATTGAAATATTCTTAAATATATATATAGAAAATGTACTATAATATTTTATATTTATATGCAAGATATCGTTATTTACCTATGGTAACAATAATAAAAATTTTAATTTCCAATCACAATATAAATTAAACTTTAAACTAGAAAATGTTAATATTAATTTCCAGAAAATCTCCTATTTCAAATCAATAAATATTTTTCAATATCTAAAGACAAATGTTCGCCTCGATCTTATGAAAAATAAATGAAAGGGAACTGCTATCCACGCCTTGTGCGTACCATTAATGAAAAACATTGAGCAACGCATAATTTCGGCTGTTCG